ATTTATTTTTATTAATCTGTCTTCCAAGAAGTAAATTTTGGATTCGCGAGTACGTGAAAAATTCTTACCAAATCGCGAATAAAAAAAATGCGAGAGTGCGGGGCCTTCATTGTCTCTGTGGCAAAGGATTGCTCGTGTAAAATACGTTTGTTTTTATTCCCGTAATTTTTTTATTTATTTTAGAACAAGAATTGCTTCTCCTTTTACCACTAAGAACGTTTTCTTTTATTCATATGACCCGACGTGTACTGCGGGATAATTTGAGAATTACGAGGCGCTTGTGAAGCAGCAGCGCGCAGGCAAAGAGATCTCCGTTGAATAATAAATGCAGTCAGGTTTACCTTTATAATGCTTTATTGCAGGTCCGCCTACGATAATCTAACAAAAACTAAAGTAGCCATCAAGAAAATATCACCGTTCGAACATCAAACCTATAGCCAGCGAACCTTAAGAGAAATAAAAATTCTCACGAGGTTCAAACACGAAAATGTAAGTCGGACGCTCGAACGAACAGTGTTTATGCGTATAGCATATTTTTTTTATTAAGTATCTTTATTAATATACCGTTCTCTCTCGCGACAGATAATAGACATAAGGGACATATTAAGAGCCCCGACTATAGATCAGATGAAAGATGTCTATATAGTACAATGTCTAATGGAAACGGATCTCTACAAATTATTAAAGACACAGGTAAGTGGTCGCGTGTATTATGTAGATCTGCGCGAAATGCTAAAGGGGAAGAGAAAAGAAAGCGACGCAGATTTTAATGAATAAAACTCTCGTTTCCAGGCTATCAGCAACGATCATATCTGTTATTTTCTTTACCAAATACTCCGGGGTCTGAAGTACATACACTCGGCGAACGTCTTACACAGAGACCTGAAGCCGAGTAATTTGCTGTTGAATACCACGTGTGACCTTAAGATCTGTGATTTCGGTCTGGCGAGAGTCGCGGATCCGGAGCACAATCATGCGGGCTTCCTCACGGAATACGTGGCTACGAGATGGTACAGAGCTCCGGAAATCATGCTTAATTCTAAGGTATTCATTTCACAAGTGATAACATTTATCGAGGAACGAGTAACGTGTTCCCGCTCGTCTACGTGACTCTAATGTAGCTCTCTTGATGCAGGGCTATACCAAATCGATAGACATTTGGTCTGTGGGCTGCATCCTGGCGGAGATGCTCTCGAGACGAGCGATATTCCCCGGCAAGCACTACCTCGACCAGTTGAATCACATTCTCGGTGTTCTCGGATCGCCCTCGCCGGAGGATCTTGAGTGCATCATAAACGAGAAAGTACTGCACGCTTACGTCTATCTCTTTGCATCTTGTTAGAATCCTAATCCAGGACATACATGCGTGCATTTTGCAATGCAGGGTGCACACTCGTCGACTCACGCTTCGCATCTATAACACGGTGGTATTGAAGCGTCTGATTTCTGATTTCAGGCACGGAATTATCTTCAGTCGTTGCCGTATAAACCAAAGGTACCGTGGACAAGCCTCTTCCCCAATGCCGATCCGAGAGCGTTGGATCTCTTAGACAAAATGTTAACGTTCAATCCCAATAAACGCATTGTAGTGGAAGATGCGTTGGCACATCCCTACTTGGAGCAATATTACGATCCTGCCGATGAGGTAAATTTGTACTTGCTGTAAGATTGCGATTACGAATGTCAATCTGTTTTCGTAAATTTCAGCCCGTGGCAGAGGAGCCGTTTAAATTTGACATGGAGCTGGATGATCTTCCAAAAGAAGTATTAAAACAATATATTTTTGAAGAAACTCTACTGTTTCAGAAAAATCATCAAGAGAATGCTATGTAGTCGACTGGTAATTGTTAAATTCGTTTTGTGCCATATCGCCGGTCTCTTGACCCGTTAACAATTGAATACTACTTTCCTTTCTTTTTGTCAGGCATGCCGTTGCCAGAATCGCAATAGCGGATACGCGTGATAAATTGAAAAAGAATAGAACGGAACCGAAAACGAACAATAGCGGGATTGGTATGAAGAAAGCGTGCTTAATCATCGCCACTTCATCGCCACTCGAATTATCGATGATACAAAGATACTAGGATATTGATGAGAGATTTAGTTCAGCGATCAACGAACGATTAATCGTGCCGATTAGTCGGGTGAGTGAAACAGTCGCAATGTCCGCGCATACGCTTGTACATTCGCATGTCCTTACTTGGAGAAAGAAAATATATAGTATTTCTTATGTTATACCGAACATAGCATAATATCAATTGGTACAACATGTATCTTTAATTTATTATTGTCGTACCGTACCATACTGTCTGTCTGTGATTTAATTGCGAGCGTGACGAGGCGTAACACGCGACGTACTTTGTCTTTATTTCGTCGTCATCTGTCGAATTATTTCTTTCACCTCCCAAAAGTGAAACGGTTGAGATTACAACGTTATGTGTAATTGTACGGCGTAATCAGGGCAATATAAATTCGGCTTATCGTATCTCGGTTATTTTACGATATCGAAAATATCATAGATATCGGAGATATTGAGGTACACTAAATGTTCACTCGTACGAGATTCGGACGCTTGTAGCGCATTCGTGTAACTCTTTCGTATGATATTTTTCGTCTTGTGTGTGTACGTATGACTGTGTGTGCGTGCGTGCGTATGTACGTACGTGTGTGGCACGTACAAATTTCTTTTGGTATTTAATCCGTTTCACGATAGTCAACCGTTATAGCGAATACGCGACGTGCAAGCGCCCTGATCGGCGCGAGCCACGAGAATAATAGTATATAATTTATGTTGAAAAAGAGAATCGTGATCTTCTTTCTGAGCGTGTGATAGTAACGATGGGGTGCCCGAGTCGTAAGAGTTTTAAAGTGACAATTTGAATAACATGTAGAAGAAGGTCCCCAAGTTAGTATTTCGGAGATTTTACAAATGTTATACATCGTATAAACCTTATCGCTCTTAGAGCCTTCCGAAATCGATATCGCAATCCAAAATCTATCTACGATAAAGTCAATTTGAATCGCTAGAAATCGAATTCGTTAACTGGATATCGATAGCTCCATTCGGCCTTACTGTGAATATATAGAGAGAATTTTCTCAATCCTTTACCCAAACAAACTAGGTTGTGAGAGACGAAGCAAAAATTAAAAAAAAAAAGGTGAAAGAAAACAAAAAGGATACTAAAACAGGGACAAAGTATTTACTTCCTCTATTAACTGTTATCGACCTTCACGTTCTTCGATACATATAATAAATTAATAATTAAAGAAAAATTCGTTGTTCGTAAGATTCTTATCTAGATTTAAGATGCATTTCTAGTAAAGTAATTACGGATTCTCGTGAGGGTGATTCGCGTTGATGCTCCTCGCCTCTTTCGCGAGGGAACATAACAGCGAATAATATTCTGTCGTTATCATAATATCATGATTTAAATCTTCATCGATTTAATACATACTTATCTTCCTTCAATGTTTATCCGTTGCGCGCATTCGTTTGGGCACATTGTCGTGGGCAAAAGAGTTAGGGAATCTCTCGCGGTTTACAGTTTTCTAGGCGCGCTACAAGCCTTGATTACAAAACGCGCACAAATTACGTAGGCGGCAAGCAGTTCAATTATTTCACGACATATGCGCAGGCGTAATCTCTTCCAAAATGAAAATTTCCAGTTTATAATGATGAGAATGACTTTTTGTAACGACAGATTCTAAGATCAGATTCAGACAAGGCCGTGCTAAATGATTCCAGGAATGACAGATTCGAATGCTTTTAGTTTTAACAAAAACAAGTGTATATCTTTCTTCCTGCGATCCATGGATGGATCGTTGTCTTTGTTATTATACGAATATATTCCATGTGCGAGTACAAAAAAACCACTTCCGACATGATATATGTATTGTGCTTCTATTTCTTACACGATTCTCTTCCCGCGGCTGAATTAAAAATTTAAATTGAATTGCCACAATGAATTTTGCAACAGAGATTTCTCAAAAACCTTACACTAATAATATATGGTGAGTGATTCTCTTTACGGACTTAAGCTATGGTCTATTTAACACTACAAATGCTTGGAGGCATTCCTCTTTTTCTTTCTTTCAATAAAGAAAGAAGGAGAAGAAGAACGCTTCAAAGTATTTTTAGCATCGAATGGAGCCTGAATTCGTTTCGACAGAGAATCGTTATACCAGCGATAATATGTCAAAATTTAATACATATTAAGCTATTTTCTCTCTGTAAAAATGTTTAATTAACCGCGCTGGCTCCGAAGATAGTCTTCTATGACGTTGTCACTTCTGCAGGGTTAAATAAGACGCGTGTTATATCAACGGACGGTCCCTTTGAAGAATGCTCTCATATTCGAGGCCTTTTAAACAGTTCTTATATATTTTAGATCGTGGGGAAGCGACGATGAAATCGTGCGCTCAGCGAAATTGTAAGCCGACGAGAAATCGAAACTCTCGCTGTCGATAATAATTGGATCCGTAATACATATAGATTGTGATACAAGTGCGGTGAAAAGTAATATTTGAGGAAAATGCTGAACTTGTGCGAACGTAGAACGTTGCGCGTAATATATCGATGACACATTTGTCGAATGTCGATATCTGGCCTAATATACTTAAAGTTATGTATGTGTACTTGTTGTTGTTGCCGATTCTTATATATCCGGACATTCACGCGGAACATCTCGTCCGTCGATTTTCGATGTTATTTCGACGACCGTATCATTGAGACTTGTAAAAAAAAAGAGTAGAAAAGAGGCAGCGGGACGAGAGGTGGTGGATTACGTGCCGTTTCCTCGACAAGTAGAATGACAGTTGTTAGCCTACGAGTTAACGAGTGGTTGACTAAATCATTAGCGTTTTTACGTAAAGTAGAAGTGAAGGAGAGAGAGAGAGAGAGAGAGAAGGAAAAACTTTTCGAGAGAGAAAGGGCCGCACGACCGCCTCTTTAACGACGGGCAAGATCGGCGTTTTTCATCCGTGCGCAGCAAACGGTATGTAAGATATGTGCGGGAAGGATTCCATCGCGGGAGGACGTATTTGTGCCATCGCAATCGGCGCCGGCTTCGAAGCAACTTGGGACGCAAAAATTTATAGAGCTGTAATTCGATTGAGTGGCGCTCTTAGCTTTTTCAATTAAACAAAAGGCCAGCATTTCGTCCCTCGAGATTGTTTCTGTCCCTCGGTTCCCTATCGTTCCAAGGCTCTGATCTTGCGCGATCGCGTCGATCGTCTGATTCTAATGGCAATATCGTGAAAGATATCCATCTTGTCCGTTTCAATTGTGTCGCTGTGAATCATTGATAGTTTTTTGTCGCCGAAGCTGCATTCATAGCGTTTAAAACGACTTTAAAGCCCGTTTAAATATAACAGACGTAATTTAAACAAATCATAGCGTTAAAACTGTAATGCTTTTAATCACGGTGAATTATTCTCTGTTGCGTTGGAGGATCGATCGCGTTAATCGGATTTGCCTCTCAGCTATAATTTTGCACAGCAATTTTCGGGAAAATTTCATTAAAAGTAGAGCGATGCTCGCAAGTGTGAAGTATAATAAACGAAGTAATCAGAAAATCAAAATTAAGGCAGATATTTGATAGATTTTAACACTGCTCATCATAAACGCAATTTTTTTCTGATGTATAAATTATCACGCAGGCGAAAAGAACAATCGAATGATATGCGGATGATAAAATTTGAATATAAATTTTCAATGCGTCGCTTATTCGACAAATACGGAGTATAATCGTACAAGTCCTGCTGTCAAAGAATGCGGCGTAAGACTAAACAGCCGCAAAAGTGGTAAATGGATTATTTTGAAATTTACTGTCGAGCACAATCACTTGGACGCAAATTGTATTTTTGAAAATATATTATTGAACGGGGAAGGTTTATAAATCTGAGAAACCTATGAATGTAGCTAAGCAGCTATTTGAGAAATAAATGTACTTACTGTGTTCTTTACCTGATTTCTTTATTACCTCGATTGCTGTTTCCAAAAATGATTGTTATCCATGACGAGTCGTCATTATTCATGTTAATTAAATTATCATTATCGACTATTGTATTTTAAATAGCTATTCCAACTATTATTGTGCTAATATAAAAAAACAGGCTCTATTGGCCAATTACTCGCTGTCTTCATCATGTTATTCGTCCCTGTAAATTTTTAAATTACGAAGCCACACTTTTCGTTAGTTTCGCTTTTGGTTACGTCACATTGAAAGGTAACAAAATAAAATTTCGTTACGCTTTTCGCGCAGGTTACAATTCATTGGATCGCGCCGGCAGAATTTGTCGACCGGAAAATTCGACGATAAGAGAATGTATTAGAGAAATGGTGAATGTAACATGGGGCATACAGACTATTGTTTATTTATTTTGTCACTAATCTCTTTCCTTTTTTTTTCGCAATAACATCGAGTATTATCCTGAATCATCTCAGAGTAGTCTTTACAAAATATCTCAATTCGTTATTCTGAAACATATGTGATGCTCTTCCGAGACCTTACGAAACTATACTTTCATCTGATATTCTTCGTGCAAAAAGTACGTGTTTTACATCGCAACTTCGAAGTAACATAAGAAAGATCTCTTCGAAATTCTTTTTCCCTAATTGCACAAATATCTCGGTCAAAGTACTTAGTTGCCCGCTTCCTTTTCCGTCTGCAGAAATATACATCAGTTTATAGATACGTGATCTCTGTTAAATTTACATGCGATATTATCGGAAGTGTTCATGATCTGTCTAACGATAAAAACAATAATGATTATTATTGGAAGATCGGTCATTAACGGTATAATATGAAACAAAAGTTTTTTTTACACGCTAATATTTTTCTCATAATACATGCGTGTACACTGCCCGTTAACGATCCCTTTCCTGATGTAAGAGGGAACGCACAGACTGCTTCTATGTTCTTCCCTTATCTCAGGAATCATTGACGGGCAGTGTACGTAAAAATAATCGCAATCTTTTCAATGATAAAAATAGAAAAACTTAGGTTCGTAAATTATGTAAACTTGTTGAATATATATATATATATACCCACATATAATTTACAACTATTCCACCGTAGTCGATATAAAATATTATGAAAAAGTTTCAAGACATCTGAATAATGAGCGCACTTTTTTTACAAGTTTCGAGCTTTTGAACAATTAGTTCGTTCGTATAGGGATCACTCTCCGTCACTATCGTCTCTTGTGTATTTATCGTTTTTCACTTCTATTCTCAATGGAGAACGTCCTCTGGTATGATTTCCGATACGCGATCGCAGATCACCGCCCTTTAAGGTACTCCTCAAGTCGCGGCTGCCTGACGGCCTTTAAAAAATACAACTCGTGAGCTTGCAGATGTATACATAAATTAATAATTAATCATATAATAATAAGTTACATATATATACTTAAAAAAAAGCACATTTTTTCGAAGAAACTAAAAAGTATGTATTAAAAACAAAAACTATATATTACACAATTTATATCACGAAATATTACGTATGTTCTTATATTGACAAAATTACGAGATTAAGAATATTTAATTGGAAAATATTAATATTTAATATTTAATTAATTAATATTTAATATTTAAAATCTGTCAAAATCTGTATGAAACATTTATGTAAAAAATAGGCGATTGTGAGAAATTATGCTATTTGATATTTTCAGTAGACGAGATAAATTAAATTATTTTCTTACCTCTTTTTCAAATAGCTGTCACTAGCCTCGCTTTTCGTATTATTTAGTCTTGCCCATACAGTGGAAGCAATGCGTGGCTTGGGCGGGACTACCTTTATTACACTTCCCTTAGGACCCTGAATTTCCTTAGCAGGCACGTCGCTGTCCTCTTCGCTACTATCTTCTTCATCCTCCTTGTGTTCACCTTCTTCCTCCTCTTCTCCTTCCTCTCGCTCTTCCTCCGCGTTCATCAGACCACGCTGGCCATGTCTCTGTTCCTCATTGTCTTCTTCTTCATGAACATCCTCGTCTTCTGATTCTTGCCATTCTCCCTCTTCTCTTTCCGACGATTGTACCTCTTTCACAATCTGATGGCCCTGCTGCCGAATTATCCCAGAGTTATCGCGTTTCGAATTTGTTGCGTTCGTATTTGTGACCACTACTTGAATGGGCTCGCGGTACTGCGTTTTCGTTTTCGGCCTTCCCAACTTTGATCGCAAGTCACCGCTCTTATTCAAGTTATTCAGAATCATCTAAGGGGGAAAAAGATAACATCTTGGATATAATTCGCGAAACGAGATAAAAAAATAAACCATTGGAGTAAAAAAAGATAAAAAAACTAACTTGGAATCGAAGCTTCGCCCGACGCTTCTGTACCTTTTCCTCCTCGTCATCGGCGTGCATTCGCATGCGGGGAATTTTACTTCGTTTATACCAATTCTCGTCGCTATCGCTACTGGAACTGGCCTCACCCGATTCCTCCGCTTGCGTCGTATCCTTTTCCGGATATTTGAGACCCAATCTTTCCTTTATGCTACGTCCTTGATCCTTGACGTCCTTAACGTCCTTAACACCATTCTTTGGAAGGAAATCATCCTCCACGACATCGTTCAAGCCCCACGTCTCGGACAACGCGCCCCATGGATTTTTTGTCTGATCTTGATCTTTGTCCTCAATCGATAATCTGCGTTTATTTTGCTTCGTCTGCTTGTACATGCGCTTACGAGATTCCGTTAGAATTCCTTTGACACCTAAACATTTTACATAGAAAATTACCTTATCGTCTGTCCTTGTTAGTTTTAATCCTGATTTGATTTCGCTATATAACAAAATTGCGCTTACCTCCAAAGTTGGGATTTCCGTACTTTTTGTAATATTCGCTTCTCTTTTCCGCATTAATCGGCTTCTTATCCGCTCTGGTGGCGAATCTCAAGAAGATTCCTTTAGATTTTGGATAATCAACACCTTTCCTCCATACACCAGGAGGTAGCGGATAATCGATATCTTTAATGTTTATACAATTATCGTCCTTTCCATTTTTATCTGCCTCGATCGACTCATTTTCCTCATCTGCCATCGCTACGTCGTCTTTCCTGTTCTCGGAGTCGTTGTTCTCTCGATCTGAATATTTTGCAATGCTACCTACAATTTTTTTGGACAATCCCAACATAGCTCTGGCTGCCGTTACTTTGTCGAACCAGACAACATTGCCTGTAACATCACATATTGTATATCAAAACATCAGCAGCAAATGATGATAAATAATCATTTCATCGAATAAAATCAAGCTTTGAAGCATACATGACACGTCGTTGATCCATTCGATCGACGTTGGAGCATAATCTTGAAAATATGTGAATACATCTTTGGTGCTCATATCCTCAGTCCCTCTCATGTGTATTACGTTCAACCTGATGTTCTTCGCGTTTTCGCCATCGTCCACGATATCCATGCTACAACCGTCACAATATAAAGTCGCAACTATCGTTCTTATCAAATCAATTTAGCGAATCAATTCAAGTATCTTATACCTGCTGTACAGGTCCTCTTCTAGATTTGATTCCTTAGATTTTTCCGTCAAGCCAAAACGCTTCGCTCGCTCCTCCATCTTCAATCTTTCCTCCTTGCTGAATATATCAATGCCCGTTGTGAATGTGTCCGCGGATCTTTCGGGGTTGCTGTCCAATGTCTGTATCTAAAGAGATTAGTGTAAGGAGCGTAACTTGAGAAGCACGTCTTACAATATTAACAACATGTATCGAATTAAGTATCGCAATATGTCACAATATATCGCTCGTTCTTGTTACCTGTGATTCTGGCTTTAAAGTTGCCCTGGCCATCTCTATTTCCTCGATAGGCACCATCTCGACGTCCGAAGGCTCGTCGTATTCCATTGCGTAAACACGACACGAGTGCGTCTGGATGCTCGAATATCGCTAGGAAAACTCAACGAGTATCGCGAATTTCACAGACGGCCTGATCGTTCCGCGAACAACGGCTTTCAGCATCAAACGGTGGGCCGTGAGGGGGTAACAAGTTTACCGTTTACAAATAGGACTTAACCATAACGGCGGACATTTGCTCGCCACTCGCCACAGCTGGGGCGATGATGGGCAATGATGGAGAATGGAGATCACAACGAACAAATAATAGGTTCGTTCTTTTTTTTCGTAGCTGCGTTACGTTATGCTTTTTGCACGCGAGAGTGCGACGCCGAGGAGTGACGCGGCGGTAGCCAATCATCTCTCGCAACGCATTACTAGTTCCGAAAAGGCGCGCAGTTGATTGGCTACCGCTCTCATACAGTGCGTTTTCCAACAAGCGACACGATTCGATGCAAGTGTCGTTCTGTCTTTGTTTATTCGTTGAAAATGCCAAAAAAGAGAGATAGAACGACGTTTGCGGCGGTTTGCGGCGACTTGTGTCGCTTGTTGGAAAACGTTTGTGATTCCGTGAGCCCGCAGATAATTGAAGAATATTGATATTATTATCGACTATAGATAAGTTTTTCGATTATTAGCGATTATTTCGATTATAAATATATCTGAATAATTTTTAACGCAATATTGAATTCGTGATTTAACTATTATTGTACATATATTTTATTAACAACAATAATAACCCTCTAGTTAGGCGCGTGGGATATATTTTACACCCCACAGCAGCTTGTTTGTATGAATAATATTAAACAGAAAACAAAAAATATTAATTGATTTTAATATTTATAGCATAAATAATATAGGGTATATCATGATAATTTACACCTCACGTAGTGCTTGCCCTTTTAAATTCTTATTGGAGGGCTAAGAATGCATATTTACACTGCAGGTAATATCATATATAATATAAATATTGCCACAAAATTACATTTTTTTTCTATAATTGTCACTCGCATGGATTAATCAAAGATTATAAATTTTTGAAACTATTGTAAATTTTTTCTGACATTCTAAAAATCGTACCGAAGCTAAATAATAAGCAGTAGCACTGAAAGTAATATAAAATATATAAATTTCAGATATTTATGATGAAATATAAATCTTCATCGATGGTCCTCTCCGTAGATTACTCATTATTGATGACACGTTAAATATATAGTTTACATTGTATACATATAGGTGACATGTATGTACCATATCCATAAAACAATAGAATAATTAATAAATCACAA